TGAAGTTATATTGTACTGTGACCTGTGCAAAGGTGTCAGTTAGCCTGTAAAGTGAATATTTGTGATATAACTTTTAATTACAAACTAGTGAGAATGACTCAGCAATTGAATATTTAATTAGCTCCCATCTCAGCTTCTGATTTCCAGCTTCATTTTGAGGTTAGCATTTGGTGCCTCATAAATAGATAAAAACTGATATGATAATTTTGCTAAGACTGGTTGGCCAAGACAGTGGAAAATATTAGGCTACATTACAATAACCTGAATTTATTTCTGCATTTGCAGGTTCAGCTTTGAATAGCACTATTGTCAGCTTAATTTGGGATGGGATGCATTGTGTGGTATCAGAGGCTGATTAAAGTCCTAAAGCCACATTTCCTTTTATTTCATATTTCCTTTTATCTTAATTGAGTTGGATTGAGCCCTCAGCTGTTTTGTTGTTTGGTTTTGTTTGGGTTATTTTTTCCCCCAGTGCTACCAGCAGGAGGTTGGTTAAATGCTAAGTAATGGTTAGAACCTCAGGAGCAGTGAGTTTGATGTTGATTGCAACAACACCAAGCCCAGAATCTAAAAGTGTTTTATCTGTCCCTAAATTATGGCAGGTAACCATGGCAATCATAGCATTTCCAAAAGCTCCTGGAAAATATTTGAAACATCTTAAGTGAGCTGTCCCATTAATAATGAAGAATACCAATGTTTCACCATCTGTTCCATACTAACAGTGTGTATAAAAGACCAGCAGTTGTGTGAAACAATTTAAACTGCAAGTGGGAATGAACTTGGCTTGTAATGAAAAACTGCCAAACAGCATGACATCAAATATGATACATCAAGACTCTGCTTCTTGGTTTTACACCTTAACATCATCTTCTAATACATGTTGAGAATCTGTAACTTTTCCATTATCTATTAGAAATTTTAGAGGTTTGTAATTTGCTAGCATTTTGCCTTGGGCAGAAGAAACGTGGCAAATTATCAGTCAGAAAGAATCTCATATAATATTTTGGGAGACATGAATTTAAAATGAAAATATTTTCCCAGATGTGTTTTGATGCTTCTGTAATCTGAAAGAGTTTTGCTTTTTAACCGAAATGTTGTGGTCTCTTAATCAAAGCTGTGTGCTCTTGAACTGTGGGCTAGCAAATTACTTTCACTGTAGTTAGTGCAGAAACAGTAGTAGTTTTGTATTTTAGGAAATATGCCTAAAAAACTTTTGTGAAATCTTAAAAGTGGGTCTTTATTTATGTACTGTTACTTTATTGTTCTGTGTATTTATTTATTTCCTTAAAAATGAAACTATGAAATCTAACCTTTAATAATGTGAAAATGCAAATGTTTTTTGCAAAGTGTACATATTTGTAATTTTAACAAAATTACTTTGTCCTCAAAGTACATTCACATCAAGTGCACATAAATATGTATATTGAACCTTAGGGGAAGATCTTTGCTGTTTTCTGTGTGAGTACATATGCAAATGTAGGCTTGTATCGACTCATACAATCACCAAAGACATCTACTAAAAGTAGGGGGTGGGTGTCATTGATACAAACGCAAATCAAAAAAATTCCCTTTATTTTTTGCTTGCAAATAAAAGTAGGTGTTTGTTTACGAGTTGGAATGTAAAGTACTACCTAGATTTCTACTGTGGATAATTAGGCCCAACGAAAAGAAGGTTATAGGTACCTTTTTATGATTTAAGACTGAAAAAATTGGCCAGGCTTTGAGCCAGTTGTGTTTTTCTGTTACCAATTGTTCTGTTTACTATATTGTGACAAAAACTCTTTATTACTGCAACAGCTTGGCAGTAACAACTCTGTGCTAAAATCGTTGCTCTGAGTAGCCAACCTGCTGTTGCAAAATGCACGTTTAATGATAAAGTGCAGACCTGGAGCTGAATCATTTTGACCTTGGTTTACATTGCTTCTGGTGAGGACAACGAGCCTTTGTACATGGTACAGAATTTCATGGTAGATTGCTTGGTGTTTGTTTTACAGATCAAATTCATGTCAGAGTAAAAGAACATTTTTAACTATTTTCAGGCTGGGGTTTTATTTCTGAGATGTTCTGCCTTTTTCTTGGACAAATGGCAGAAAAATAGCCACATTATAAGCACTAATTTGATAACCTGTGAACAGCAAAAAGTGCATTCCCTAAGCATCTTCTGTCAGTCTTAATCAGGAAAGTGCTTTGTGCCATTATTTTCTGTAGTCAAGGAGACTTTAGAGTAACATAAGGGATAGAAAGTACCTACATTCAGCATTTGGCTCCTGTATCTGTAAGGGAAGTCCTTCCTGTGAAAGATGTTTTTAGTTAAATACATTTGCAGTACAAAAGTCATTCTAAAGGAATGCAGCTTCTGCTTAAGAGAAAACTTAAACATAATTAAAATGATTTCCCTGAAAACACTGTTGTCGAAGATTTGTGACCAAAAAAACTTCAGAACTGAAAAAGTTGCTGAATGTGGTATTTAAAAATGGGGGTTTTCTTGTGAGCTTGAAAACACAACTGCCAGAAGCTGAAAGGAGAATGAAGTGCAGGGAGGGGGAGGCCGTTCCTGGGAAGGGCTCTGAGCTGTGGCTGGGTGTGCACTGGAGGTGGCTCATGGAGCAGAGCAGGATTGTCCTTCCCCCATGGCACAGCCTGGCAGCACCTGGGGGAGGAAAACTCCAGCTGAAACAGCCTCAGGTGCCAAACAGCACCTCTGCTCATGTGGTTAAATCTTCCAGAGCCAAAGCTCTTCCACAAACATTTTCTTCTTCCCAGACTTCTCCCTGCATCCCTGGCTTGTCTTCTGCCACACACATCTGGTGGCAGCAAAGAAGTGTCCCTGCAATGGGATGATGTGGTTTTTCAAATCCTCAGAGAGGAAAGGGGAACACAAGGCTGTTCCTTGAGCCTCATCAAAGAGTCCAGTGGGAACAAAAATCTTAGTGAAAAGAAAAAAAACCAATAACATAGGTGTCAATTATTTAATTAGCACTGAACACCATGCTTATTTATTATGATAGTTCCATTTTATGGTAATATTATGTGTCATCATAAAATAAAATGTTTGCTTTAGTGTTCCCAACAGCTTGTATAGGCTTCAGTTCCACACATTTGTCCTCCCAAAGCAGGGCAGGGAACAAGCTCTGCTCTGCTCTGTGCCAGCAGCAGCTGCTGTCACGTGTGGGAACTGAGCAGGTGACCCTGCAGAGGGGTTTGGGGGGGTCCAGCACTGCAGCTTTGATGGTTTAATGAAGGATGAGTTTCAAATCATTTACAACACAACTGGTGTGTGGAGTGTGTGTATGTTGCTGAAAAAACATGTAGCTGATAAAGATGAAATAGCAAAGTATATCATATGTAGGGGTTTTTACATTTTCATTTAGATCTTGATTGAATTAGTTTATTTGATTAATGAATACATTATTTAATTTTTGCATTACATTACTACATTGAATGAAATGTATTAATGTAGAACTGGAATGTTGAAACAGGACTGGACATCTATGTAACTTCATATGTAGAAAACAAAAATCGAATAAATATATATATTTTGGAATTTCATGCATTTAATTAAACAATGTAAGCACCACTGAAGTTTTTGAACTCTGTAAGTGTGGATGTCTTCAGCGATTTCATACATCTTACTCTCTTTTGTCCCCATAATTATATTTGATTTGTTATTCCTAAAAATATTCCTGTTCCTAGTAACTTCTAATGAGATGGAAGAACAGAACAAAATGTCAGTGAAGGTCCCAGGAATGCTACAGCAAATTCCTCCTGAACTCGAAGGAGCATCCCTGCTTTGAGTGTTGTTCTGTTCTAGCTAGGAAAGCAGTAACCTTCAGATTTGCATCCCATGCATAGCAGCATGGGCTGAACCTTTTCCATACAATGAATTTATTCAGTGTTGTCAGATGTATTTATGGTGTTTTGTTGGTGGGTTGGATTTTTTTTCCCCAAGAAATAAGAATTCATTTCAATGCCTTTTCTTACAGACATAAATAATACAGGTTGGATAGACATATCTTTTATATAAAGGTTGTTTTTGAGAGCTCTAGTTGTCTAATAATAGATTTGGCTTCGTGCCTGAAGAACATACTGTGACATTTAAACCAGGTGAGCAGTGCCAGCACTCCCCAGACAGAACACTCTGGCTGGAACATAAAGCATCCAGCACCTGATGTCACTGTAAACCTGTTAGAGCTCCCTGTTCCTGGGAAATGGGTCACCTTTAGATTATAATCCACTGTAATTGTCATCCCTCACAGGGAAAAGGTTTAAACTACATGTAAGTTATGGCATGCATGGCATCTTGCTGGTTGTGATAAACTTTTAACTTCTGAGTCCATCAGCAGAATGTGGTGTTTATAGAACTATTCTATTTATTTCAGTCAACTTAGTATAAAATCCTGGATCTAAAATGCTACAGAAACTTCAGTAAAATATTTTAATGAGACTTGTGATATAATATTTTTAAAAATCTACTATATGAAGAAATCATCACAAAATAACAATTTAATAACATAAAAAATGCTGGACATGGTGTTTGTGTACCAACATCTGAAAAATATGGAGAGTCAGTGGGAAGTGACACTAAAGTGTCACTGGGGAGACATTGTGGGAGTAAGTCAGCAAAGACTGGTAATTCTGGATCTTTTTATGCAACAACAAAATGCATAAATTGTTATGCCACAGCCTGTGTGCTGCTGTTCTGTTCTGCCTAAGATTGCAGTGGTTTATGGTCCAGAGAAGACAGATTCTGCCAGGGAGAGGATCTGACATTCTGTCAGTGGATGTTTTTGTGAAACAGGTTTTATTGGGATTCATGATTTTCCTTTATCTCTAAGGACAGAGTCAAGGGGGTTTTGCATATTGCCAACATATTTATATAGCCATAATAACAGACATCATCAAAAGATCGATTTTTATGCTTACTGGGACTGTTTAGTTACATTATGAAGTTGAGAAACATGTTCTTTGTGCCATTTATATTTTTTCCTCTCTATTTTTAGGATGCAAAGTTTGTAGAAGAGCGACGCAAGCAGCTACAAAATTACCTAAGGAATGTAATGAACAAAATTATTCAAACAGTGCCAGAATTCACAGCCAATCCCAAAAAAGAGACACTTATTCAGCTGATGCCCTTTTTTCTGTAAGTATCTGTCAAGTACTCAAGAAAATATTAAAGTTTTTTCATCACAGATTAATTTCAAATATAATGCCAGCATCTCCAAAATCTTTAAAATAGTGCTTTTTATTTTTTTTTAATAGAAGGTTTCTGTTCAGATTGCAGCTGGTTTTGTTTTATTTAAAGGAATATATGACATGTAGAGTATTTTTTTTGGTTATTTAAATGGTGATTTTGAATGAAAATCACAGTGTAAAGCTTTCAGAAATATTTAAGTGACTTTAAAATCTGCATCCATACATGCTCTTCAAACATTAGGTATTTTCAATTTCTTTTATTTGGTCTTCTGTAGTTTTGTTTTGTTTTTGCTTGCATGGGGTTTGTATTATTTTTTAATCTTTGCTTTGAGGGATGAGGGTAGAGCACTATTAGGGTCCTTACTAACCAAATACAAAAGTCAAGCTGTTGAATTCTTTTTAGCTGAATTTTGCATTCTGCTGATGCATGTTTTGATTTCCTTAATGTAAAAGTTGAATATGTCCAGAAATAACTTAACAGTTATCTGTTAAGCATCTCAAACCCTTTGATATTCCATCACATAGGGGGTGTAATGTAGTAAAGCTGTCCCTTTCCACTTTAAACTTATTTCTTTATGCATTTGTAAATATTTAAAACTATTTAGGAAATAATGTTAATGAAAATTTGTTTTTGAAAGTCGTGTTCTTTCACTAGTAATTTTTCAGTGTAATGGTTTTTCAGTTCTACACCTGTACAAATTATGTATAGATTGAAAAAATTATATCAAGATTTACTTACAGTAAATCCTCATGTGAAATTTGCTGTGCATGACCCTCTGCACAGGGATTGTGCATCCATGGCTGTGAATCCACACATTCATTTGCAGCCTCAAGACCAATTTCAAATGAATAAGTTTCATCATAGCACACATATTTAGTTGTATTATTGCCTGGTCTTTTGCAGAGTGTGTCAGATTTTCAAGTTGAAATTGCATTTCAAGAAAGCTCTATTTATTAGAAAATGTAATAGATGAGTGGAAGAATGCCAAGATGCATTTCATGCCATTCATGAGTTTCCAATTTTTCTGTGGGTTTGAAATCAATTTAATGAGACATCTTGCTGATGGTGTTATAAATGGTGAAGTGATGTTTGTGGGGAAAACTTCTTAGGAGCCTTGTCCTTTGCTTCCTAAGAACTTATTGTCTAGAATTTGACTGAGGGCTGTAAAGATGGAAATGGTTTAAAGTTGAGGGGCCCATGTGTAGCTTTTTGTTCAGTCATTTTAAAGAAGTTATCCTTTACATTGTACTTAGTTTTGTTTTTTAAAGAAGAGGGGGGGAAATACAAAATGCATTTGCAATTGTAAAATGTAATTGTAAATGCAATTACACTCCTTTTCCTGTGTTTGTTTTTTTTTTTTTAATCTTAACACACTATTGCTACGGAAGTAATTTATTACACTATCTTTTGGTTCTGAGAAATGATACTTCAAGAACAGTGTATTTATAATCTCCTGGCCATTTATGTCTAAAACAGGAAGGGAGAAAAATTGTCCTCTTATTCCTCAGCCCTAAATAATTGCTTTCTGATACTTAATCTTAACTCTTTTCTAAGTGTGTAAGTAGAATTTAGATCTCATGTTTCTGTTTATTAAAAGAAGTGCCAGGTATGGGGGCCAGCACAGAACAAGATTAAAATCACAATCCATGTAATGGGTTCTACCACTGCTGCACAAATCTGAGTGCAACCATTTCACTGTTACAAAACCCTCCAACTCTATTCCTTCTAATAAATGTAATGTAGGGGGAGATTCAATGAATTTCACAGAAAGAGCAAAGTTTTATTGAGAAGGCAGCACGTTTAAGTTTCAATATTCTAGGAGTACAGTTTAGTTAGTGAGGCATTGTGCTACAAAACAATGCAGTTTTCTCTAAGGAGAGAGAAGGAAATTGGCCAACACCATTTATCACCCATTACTAAACACCTCTGTGATGCACTGTGCTGCTGCTAACTCTGGTGTGGGTGTGCCTCAGGTGGGGAAAAAATGTTTATTTTTAGAGTTTTTTTTTTAATCTGGCAATTTGATAATTCTTAACACATTACATGAGACAATGGACTGGAATCTTCTGTGATTATGGCAGAGATTCTGTTCCTACATGTATCTGTGAATTATTTCCTGATAACTTTTTATTATATAACAAATGTATCAGCATTCTATCTTGCCTAGAGTTGATAGTTATCTCTGGGAATACTAGTGGGATTCTGGAAAAATTTAGCTGTTGAGCAAAATAACTACATTCCTCATCTACAGCAGCAGACAAAATAGCTTTTTAATGCATTTTGCTACTGAGATATCAGACTCTTCTGCAGCTACAGCAGCAGCATTAAATTAATAAAAAGAACTTTTCTAGAATGTGCTCCTTCTATCAGTGTCTGAAAGTGCCATCATTTCTAGGCTATCGCTTGAACTCTTTATGCCCTTTATTATCTGAGAGTCATGACCTGGCAGTGCTGGGAGTTTCAAAAGTATCTGAAAGAAAATGCATTTCAGTTCCACTTCAGATTGCCAACTTCTCCATTATTATCCTTCTGTAATGGATTTTGAGCTTCATCAACAGAAGACCTTAAATATCTTGGAGTCTGTGAATTGTTTATTACATTAATAATTTGTAACCTTTGTACAGTACCTGCAATTCTTCTAATCTGTTAAGATTTAATAATATTTTACTATAAAACACTGTAAATACATACAAAAAAATTCGGATATATTTAATTTTTCCTCTGTAGCACAAATGTATGTACAGCTAGTTGCATCTTTATCAATGAAGGAGTAATTACAAAACATTGAGGTATTAGTCCTAGGACTGTGCTGTAGTGATACCTCAGTCTGAGGAAAAAATTACAGTCTTGATATGCATAAACAATCAAACAGAGCATTAGATCTGTCTGTTAGGAAGCAACGAAACAGAAAAATTTTTAAAATTATCTGGTCTTAAAGAGTTTCTTCTCACTGCAAAATAATGTGGCCAGGCTTCAGTGTGCAAATGAAAAATCCCATAAAGGCTATGTCTGATTAGGCACCTTAGAAGTAGAAATTACAGGGTCAGTTTTAATTAATCACTTTTAAAACCTGATTGCAGTCCTAGAATATGATTATGATGAACAGAACATAAGATTAATACCTCTAAGACTGAATCCACTGTTAATTCAATGCCAGAATGAATATTGCCTAGAATTTTTATTGTGAGTTTGTTCCTTTGGGAATTCTTCCCTTTCAAGTGCAGTGGTTCCATACAATCAGGCACAGATCTGACAAGGAAAAACATTTAAATGTTTCCATCTGATGGAATAGCCTGGCACTCTTGCAGAGGAAGGAATTGCTTTTATTTTGAAACTCAGATAACAGTTTGCAGTACAATAATGTGAATGAGTTTGCTACATTTCCTCCCATTATGGTATTAAATGCTTTGGTGACTCCTGGAAGTGTGTCTTATTATGAATCCTTGTGCTTGAACTGTCATTGATGTATTTTTTCTTTCGTCAGTCTCTACCACTTGTAATCTCAGTTTGTGTCTCTTTTGGTTTTGGTACTGCATTAGCTCAGTCACAGGATTGGTCAAAGAATTTCTTTTAAAATCCACTTTCTTGTCTTAATGTAAAAAATAGATTCTGGCTCTGCTAATTTGTCTGTTTACAAGCTGAATAAAAAATTTTTGCAGTAATAAAATTGACATCACAAGATACATTTTCCAGTCCATGTGGAGCAGAACCTAAATCAAGAATTGGCACTGCTGAATTAGATTGCTACATCTGCTAGCTGGTGAAGGCCTTTCTGCTAATACTTACTAAAATGAACATTTATTTGCAGTTATGATTGGTTCATTATAGATAAACAAAGCTAGTTATAACAAGTACATTTGTGTTTTAATCACATTTTTATCAATGTGAAAAATTATCACACACATTTGGCTCTTCATAAATATAAATAAAGCCAGGAGAGGTCTTTGGCAACAAGAAGCACAATTCTTTGGATCATATTATTGAGTCTTTCAATACAAATAATCATATAGACTGTGTGCTTTCAAATATGTAAGAAGCTAAAAGCTGTAAAAAGTTGGGAACAGGAGTTCTAAAGTGCTGTGATGGTGCAGTTTTCTGTCTCTGTGGTTTCTGTATCAGTTGTCCTCATTTTTTTAAAAGAGATTTTCTTTCCATTGTCCTCATAATGGGCACAAACTGAAATGCAGGAAAAATAATAAAAACCCCTTTATTTTGCACTGTGAGGGAGATGGAACCCTCTAGCAGTTTGCCCAGAGGTTGCTGCCACTCCATGCCTGGATTTGACAGGACACAGCCCTGGGCAGCCTTGTGGGGATTGGCTCAGTGATCTCCATGGGTGCCTTCCAACCTCAGTCATCTGTAAAACTGGAATATAATCTGACCTCGAATTGTATTTTACACCCACCCTGCACAAAGAAGTGTTGGCTCAATTACAGCTGCTCACACAGTGTTTGTTACCTGTGAGCAAAACAAACTCTGAACATGGGAAGCTCCTACAGCCTGGACTCCACTTGAGTAGCTATGCAAAGCTATTCAACTGGTTCTTTTGCATTGGCAGTGCAAATATTTGGATTAAAATACATGCAAGAATGGAATAAACACAATTTGGTGAATATTTTCACAGAATGTGAAATTTCATTGCTGTGCTAAGTACTTTTTTATCTCATATTGTAGGCCACAGGTACAAGCTACACTGGTTTCTAAATAACAATTTTATGTTCTGCTGAGCTGTAAAACTGGACATTTATTCCCTTGAGGGAGCTGTTCAAATAGATGCTTTAACAAAAGCAGGGAATCTGCTCTGTAAATCATCAGCAGGTTCTGTTGTCTGAGGGATGTGTTTGAACACCAAAGGAGTCATCAGTACTTAATGATGATTAGGGGATTGTAATTTTCAAAAAATATGTTGTCTCCATTTCCCCTGGGTGACATTACTGGCAGCATAT